TTCATTAAGTACCTGCACATTATTTTTGAGATTCACCCATGTCATATGCAACGTTAACTGGTTTTGTTTTAATGTGTCCAGATATTCTGCTAGCCCTTCAAAGACTGGGAATGTGCTGTGACTGCTCCCTTGTACAGAATACTGCACATTGTAAGGGTTCTGCCAACCCTGGTGGCACAGTGGGTGACTGAACATATGAGTTATTTAATCAGTCAATAAGCCAGTTAGACAAAGAAAGTTTCACTTTTCTAACACAGTCTCTTAATGTTCAACTTACCAACCACCGTTACATATCCTGGCTTCGGCAGCCTGCCAGCTTTGCTGTAGGAATCCAGGGATCCACCCATTTGCAATTCTGCAGCATTTGCTGCATGCCTGCAGCAGTGAAGGACTGGCCAGGAAGCGACTGCTGCCCTGGATGGGCTCCAGTGTGACTGTGAAAGAGCCAACCTTGGGCGTTGTCTCCTGCAGACAGAAGTGCTTATCCTCTATCTGCAAACAGGAAACCTCATGTTCCTCTGATTGATTTATTAAACCACTGTAAAGGTCAGCAAAGGAATCCAGGTGCTGCAGGGGATACTGTGAGGTCACTTAGTACCCAAACTGCAGAAGCAGCATGTATTTCCTTACAGTCAGGAAAGAACAATGGACAGAGTTGGTACTGTTGGCTCTGGCTGATACGGCTGTGACCTGGCTGGAATGGCCATCCCCAGAGGACCTTCTTACTTCTCACGGTGACTGTGATTAAGGCCAGGCCACCGTGGGGCAGGCCCCTAGGGGGAAAATACATTACCTTGGCTCATTCTGTGGAGCAAGCATTTAGGGATCTGAACTTATCACCATCATTTCTGCATGGACAGCAGTAAGTTCCTGTCATTTCTAATAGCGCACATGTTCTGAATATAAACGTGCTTTTTTCATCTTTAACCTACTCAAGTGACATTCTCACTTCTGCTGCACTCTAAATTTCATATAGCTGCAGAGCACACTTTATTCTGCATCACTTTCAAAGTGTGGGGTTGTAAATGTAGGCACATTTTATTTTAAAATGGGGAAAGTTTTCTTTCAAATATATTTCCCAAGACATGGAAAAGATTCGTGTATGAGTCCTGTGGTAAGCATATTATATACAGAAATAAACCTGTTTCAAGAAAAAAAGAGGAAAGACATTCATACATTGCTGTAGATTTTATCCATATTTGAAAAAATTGTAGGAAGCATGACAAACTCAATAACGAGATGTTCAGTGCCAGCATTTCTTCTTTTGTTCATTGCAAAAATTTTTAAGGTCACTCTTTTTCCAAAGAAAACTCATTTATAGATGTGGAAAATGAAAATATCTCAATTAGAAAACAGCAGAAATTACAGTGTGGTTTATTTTAGGATTTACATCACCTACGTTGGATTTTAGTTTATTAATTCCTGAAAAGGTGCTTTGCAAAGCGTCTAAAAAGTCACACCATATAAAAGTTACATCGACAGTTAATGTGTCCTACTGTACTGGTGGCAACAATTTATTTTACATTCAGGTAGTTCTATCAATCATACAGTTATTGCTGCCATTAGCTCTCCCAATGGAACACTCACTACCAGTTTCCTCATGCTATAGACCAGTTCATATTGGTGTCTCCCAAACAGAAGAGGTTTATTATATTATATGTATGCTAGATTCTGCAGACTGTGGCATGTAGTTCTCAAATTCCATAGAAACAAGGAGACAGATAATGCCTATGAGCAGAGCACCGCTCTATCTGAAAGCAAGTACAGCTCAGGCTTGAGGTAGCTGAGTGACTTGGCAAATTATTTAACCTGTTTGGCCTCTGCTGCTGGCTCTGAATAGCCATCTCACGGGGATTTTGTTACTAAGCAATAGACAGCAAGTGCCTGAGTGTGGTATTTCCTTCATTTCCCCTTTCGGGGGCATGCTGACGCCAGCTTCCATGATACTGACGAACCTTCCTGATGGTGAGGTGCATGGAGACCCCTCTGCTGTTCTGATCCAGCTCTGTCCCCACACATCACTGTTGGGGGACAGAACTTGCCTCTCCTGACGCCCACACTGAAGCCTCTCATGGGCTCTATCCTGTCGGAACTTCAGCTTAAAGCTGCACCTTTTAAAGCAAATGCCAATACACAACGCCCTGTGCCATGGGTTTCAGAAGGATGAGTAGAAAAGCCATCAGTCACCCAGTCTGAGCCACCTGGAGTGGAAGTAAAATATTCTCGGTGGTTCTAAAAGGGTTAAAAGTTCTGAGCTTTATGGTAATGTGTATCTATTTTGCTCTTCAACAAATGCCCTGAAATAGTCTGTGAGAGGATCACAGAGGTATTATGAGATAACCAGATTGGTAGGAATACTATTAATGAGTGTCACCAATAGATTTCTGTGTTTAGTTTTTGAATAGTTTTTATCCTGAGAGTGTGTTTTGTTGGTAACCCTCAATCATTTTCACGTCCATGGAGAATATGCTTAAAGGGGAATAAATGCACAAGTACATAATGACACTCAAAAGCCTCTGCTGAGAGACAATGGCAGTGCTACACATGACACTGATACAGAAATATTTCCGGTGAGGGCAAGGAAAAGTCAGGCTTTTCTTGCTGAATGGATTTTCTGAAGTTGCTCACTTTCCCACTGCTTTTCTGACACACGGAGCAAATGGCATGTGGGCTTTCAGAGCAGAATTCTGGGAAGAGGGTTTAAAAAGGAAGATGGCTGGACAGGACACTGCAAAGGAGGCAAGCACGCAGCAGAGCAAGGCCCAAGGTGGGGCAACCAAAATCCAGCTCCCCCAGCCCCAGAGCAAGGCTGCACTGCAGAATCCGGTGGCTAGTGGAGATCTACATTCCTAAGTCCCACTGGGGTGGTTCTGCCCCACACCCTGGGCCAGGGGCAGTACAGAAGGGGCCTCTGTGCCCTCCACTCACCCTTTACCACCCAGTGCACCTCCATTATCCTCTGTCATGCAAAGCTGGTGACCCAGGACCTTCTGCTCCGCAGCATCTCACTGGCCCCGAAGCCCAGCCTCTCCACTCTGCAGTCAGAATCTGCACCGAGGAGCTGGCAAAATACCTAAATAAACCTAAAAACCTGGACGGACTTCAGCCCCATGAGATAATCTGAAACTCCTGGGGGAAAGGACCTGGTGCAAAGGAAAGGGACTCATGAGTCCCCAAGGGTGTGGCGTGTGCAGACACATGCACACTGGGTGTGAAAGAATGATTTATATGGTGCAGGTTAAAAATAAATCCATTCTTCCACTTGTCACCTACATATGGGTAGCAAACATATGACTTACCCGGGTCTCCTTCCCCCCTCATCTCTGGAACAGAAGCCTCTGCTACTACTGGGTCGCTGGTGAATGACAAGGGATGCAGGCTACAAAGTCATGCTAGGGAAGGAGGACCCAGCTGGGTCTGCCAGGGCCAAGGGTCTGGGCAGCCTGAGTGTGCGAGCGAAGGCAGAGCTCCGAGAAGGCACAAGCCTGATGGATTAAAACCTCCCACCAACGTTTCTGAGTTCGAGTTACTGGAATTACTACAGTGATTGTTTAGAAATCCCAGGAAGTTCTCCCATGCAATCCCTCCCTCTGCCTTGAGGAGGGTGGGGTATCAGAATCACAGGGTCCTTTTAAGGTCGGAAAGGACCTTAGGGCCATAAACCTCACCCGCCCTCTTCTCCATCTGGGCTCCTGCGGTATCCTCTGCGGGTCACGGGCAAAGCGACGCGGACCTCTCTGCTGGAACGTATGTTTCTCCGCAGTGCACCTTAAAAAATAAAAGTTCGTGTCAAACGCCATGTTGCATAAATAAAAACTAAATGCTTGTTTAGAAAAATCCTGCGCACCTCCTGTAAACCTGCGGAACCCCTCCTCAAGCCCGAGGCACTGCCGACACAACGCGAGTGGAAGCGCCCAGGGCTCGCGGGCCGCACCCCCGCGCGCTACGGCCCACTCTTCCGGGCATCGGGGCGCGTCCTAAGGAACCCACGGACCCTACTGCGTGTTACCTACTTATCGTAGTGAACCGGGGCGGAATCACGCAGCTCTTTTCTGTCCGCCCCAGCGTGGAGCTCGGTGCCGAGTTCTCCTCTGCGGAGGCCACACCCGGGGCTCGCGGCAGCCGCAGCGGATTCTCTCGGAAAGGCAACCACCTGCATGGCTTGTGGAAATCATCAGGTTGGGTACCAAGCACGCGTAAAAAGAGAGGTGGAGGCGTTTAATGTGGTGGAGGTGGTGTCCAGCAGGGATTCAGCTTCGGGAGACAGAGGCAGCCTGAAGGTCCCCGCTGCCGCCCGGTTCCAAACTCATTCCCCACCCTCCTCCTCCTCCTCCTCCCCCTCCCCTGCCCCAGGCACCGGGACGCGCTGAAAGCCCTGAGCTTCGTCTCCCATAAAGAAAGGAGAAAATCTAGGAAAGCTAGCAGGCTGATTATCTGCTCCCAAAGGTTTAGAAATGCTAAAGTGACCACCTGCAGCACTAGGGGTGTGTGCGCGTGATGGGGCTTATCTTCCAGCGTTGAAAAGCAAAAGCAAAACAGCCAGGAGAAAGGAAGAATTAACGAAAGTACCAGAAACAGCCAGAAAGAAATGTAAAACTTCTCCATAACTGCGCACAGCATATGTGCGTCCTTTGCCTCTTACTCCTATCTCAACCTCCCCAGGGACACTGCACCGCCACCAGAAACAAATGGGGTGGGGTGGGGTGGGGAAGAGTTGAGCCGGGGTCAGGTGTATTCCAGGTACCGGGTAGGAAAAGCTGAGGTGTCCGTGCAGAGTGGGAACCAGCCCGGTGACACAGGGTCCAAGTATAATAAGCAGGTGGGGCTGGGTGGGTGCGAAGGGAAAGGAAATGAGTAGGGGGTGTGGGGGGGTCTCCGAGAAAACCGAGGTCTCCGCGAAGAGCTGGGAGGCCCGAGCCGCCGCCGCCGCCGCCGCCCGCTCGCCCCCTCCTTCCCTTTTGCGCAGAATCCGCCCCAGGCTGCAGCGCGCTGCGCCCCCACCCCCACCCGGCCGGCGCGCGCGCCGCTATGCACCGCAGGCTGCGTCAGGTCCGCCCGAGTATAAATACGGGTGGCAGGACGGCACCCCGCCGCACACAGCCATCCACTTGTCCCTGTCCCTCTCTCCCCCGTCCTTCTTTCTCTCTAGGCCCCCATCTCCGCCGCGGGCCAGAGGGGCACCGGCCGCCACCATGAGTTCCTTCAGCTACGAGCCGTACTATTCGACCTCCTACAAACGGCGCTACGTGGAGCCGCCCCGGGTGCACGTTTCCAGCGTGCGAAGCGGCTACAGCACGGCGCGCTCCGCGTACTCCAGCTACTCCGCTCCCGTCTCCTCCTCGCTCTCCGTGCGCCGCAGCTACTCGTCCAGCTCCGGCTCCTTGATGCCCAGCCTGGAGAATCTGGACCTGAGCCAGGTGGCTGCCATCAGCAACGACCTCAAGTCGATCCGCACGCAGGAGAAGGCGCAGCTCCAGGACCTCAACGACCGCTTCGCTAGCTTCATCGAGCGCGTGCACGAGCTGGAGCAGCAGAACAAGGTCCTGGAAGCCGAGCTGCTAGTGCTGCGCCAGAAACACTCCGAGCCGTCGCGCTTCCGGGCGCTGTACGAGCAGGAGATCCGAGACCTGCGCCTGGCGGCGGAAGACGCCACCAACGAGAAGCAGGCGCTCCAGGGCGAGCGCGAAGGGCTGGAGGAGACTCTGCGCAGCCTGCAGGCGCGATACGAAGAGGAGGTGCTGAGCCGCGAGGACGCCGAGGGCCGGCTGATGGAAGCGCGCAAAGGCGCAGACGAGGCTGCGCTCGCCCGCGCCGAGCTGGAAAAGCGCATCGACAGCCTGATGGACGAAATCGCCTTTCTGAAGAAAGTGCACGAAGAGGAGATCGCCGAGTTGCAGGCGCAGATTCAGTATGCGCAGATCTCCGTGGAGATGGACGTGGCCTCCAAGCCCGACCTCTCTGCCGCGCTCAAGGACATCCGCGCGCAGTACGAGAAGCTGGCCGCCAAGAACATGCAGAACGCCGAAGAGTGGTTCAAGAGCCGCTTCACCGTGCTGACCGAGAGCGCCGCCAAGAACACCGACGCCGTGCGCGCCGCCAAGGACGAGGTGTCGGAGAGCCGCCGCCTGCTCAAAGCCAAGACCTTGGAGATCGAAGCGTGCCGGGGCATGAACGAGGCGCTGGAGAAGCAGCTGCAGGAGCTGGAGGACAAGCAGAACGCCGACATCAGTGCCATGCAGGTACCGCGCGGGCCAGGTCCGGTGGCGGCAGGGCGGGCGGCAAAGGCGTGGGTTGAGGGTGCGCCGGGCAAGTGCAGTGGACCCCACGGGTGAGCTGCAGGGCGGGGATCCGGCTCCTTGGGGACTGGGTGGGTGGGAAGGGCACTTGGGGGCGGGGCTGACAGCATTCTGGGGCTGAGCCTGGTGCAGGGCCCGAGTTCTGCAACAGAGCGACCCAGCCCGGCTGCAGGGTTGGGGGGGGGGTGGTCGGTGCGCAGGAGTGGACGCTGGGCGTTGCCCTAGGTCTGCAGTGACTTCCGCTCTCTGCAGACCTGAGTCCACCGAGACCCAAGTTCAGCACCTATCGGACCCTCCGGTTGGTAAAGATGGCAGCAGTGCTCCTGGCCTCTGAACCTGCAGGCTTTAGGGCTAGTTTTTCTAACCACTTCCTCCCCTTAGCAAGTACCCAAGAATACAGTCCGAATCTTTTAGAAGAGTGGCAGGTGATAGTCACGAGTCAAACGTCTCATTTTTAAGGTTCTCCATCTTCGGGAGAGTAGCAATATAGTTGCACAGGAATTATTTTAAAGAAGCTCATTTGAAAAAATCGAGGTCTTTTCTTCTATAAAGAAGTGAATTAATTTTCTCCAATGTGACCTGGCTAGAAAAGAGTTAGTGAGAAACAGTTTTTCTATCAATTTGGATTTTTATTTCTTTGTAGACATTTTATGGTGGTCATGAGCCTATATTAACTAAAAAATTTCTTAAAAAGAATTTTCTTCTATCATCTAAAATATTTTTTCCTTCATGCTTCGTGAAGCTGGATATTTTAGGGAAGAAAGATTTTTTAGAGAACAGGCAATTTAAGAGGCGATTTGTGAGATGGAATGTGTGCCCTTTGGTTTTAATTGACAATAGGCTTTTGCAACATATAAAGTATAATGAAAGCAGTAGGAACTTATGCTGGGCTTTTTCTTTAATCTTCCAACAGGACACAATCAACAAATTAGAAAATGAACTGAGAACCACAAAGAGCGAGATGGCTCGATACCTGAAAGAATACCAAGACCTCCTCAATGTGAAGATGGCTTTGGATATTGAGATTGCAGCTTACAGGTGAAACCAGAGGGGTGAGGGTAGCAGCCATTAAGCCTTAGGAGGAAAGTCAGATTCCATTCAAAGATGAATCAGAACCTTCAAGACTAGTTTTTTGAAAATTATGAACTGTTAGTTTTTTTTGCTTCTTCCAAGAAAGTATCTAAGCAAATATATAAGAAGTAATAACGAGTCCTATTCTTAGCTTCCCATTCTGTTTTAAATTTAATAGGACTACTTAGGGGTTGTTTTGTTAGGTCTCAGTCACAAAATCCCAGTCACTGAGTCTTGACACTGCCCAGCTCTGCTCCTGTTGGCATTTTCTTCCATCGGTGCCATTGGGGGGCCAGTGGTGAGTGGTGGGCTTAGAGAATGTCCCTGAGCACACTTCCTGTGTTGTTGTTGTTGTTTTTTTAACCACCCTTCATCTGGCCCCCAGGAAACTCTTGGAAGGCGAGGAGACCCGGCTCAGTTTCACCAGCATGGGCAGCATCACCAGCGGCTATTCCCAGAGCTCCCAGGTCTTCGGCCGATCTGCCTACAGCGGTTTGCAGACCAGCTCCTACCTAATGTCTGCTCGCTCCTTCCCTTCCTACTACACCAGCCACGTCCAGGAGGAGCAGATCGAGGTGGAGGAGACCATCCAGGCTGCCAAAGCCGAGGAAGCCAAGGATGAGCCCCCCTCTGAAGGGGAAGCTGAAGAGGAGGAAAAGGAGAAGGAAGAGGGGGAAGAAGAGGAGGGAGCTGAAGAGGAAGAAGGTATGAGGAGAGCAGACCCCTGCCAGGACCAAGTGGGTGGGGAGACTTGTCAGGAGGTGGATGAGCTACACAAAGGCCTGCTCATATGTGATTTCAGAACCTTAAGAAATACCATTGTCTTTATTCCACGTACCTTTATTAAGCACTTTTTTATTATAAGTGAAGCAGTTGGTCAAAAATTTCTTTCTTTTGTTTTATTTTATTTTGAGTGATGCATAGTAATTCCAGAATTTTATTTTTAGTATATCCATTTGGCCCAGCAGGTTGGTGTGCTAAAGAGCAAAAGCAAATGCCAAACACATCGTAGAACTGAGATTAGGTCTTGGAGAGGAAGTAATCTCATTTTATTTAACTGTGTTCCCTGGCAAGTTGTTCATGGCAAGCATTGTGTGTTACATGTCTTCTGGGACAATGGAACAGAGAGGTTTTTGGTGAGCATTCTGACAATGATGCTTAGTAATTCACAAAATCTCGGCAGCGATCTTTTGACTGGACTTAACCTGGATTTGGGTCTTGTAAATTTTCTTTCCATGTTTTAGCTGCCAAGGAAGAATCTGAAGAGGCGAAGGAGGAAGAAGAAGGAGGAGGAGAAGGTGAAGAAGCTGAAGAAGAGGAGAAGAAAGAAGAAGGTGCTGTCGAGGAACGAGCAGCTAAGAAGAAAGATTGAGTCCCCTTTTCCTAACTGTTCCAGGAAAATTTCTCCCCAGATTTGGTCAACTTCATCGCCAGTCAACCAGTTGAGTTCCAGACCCTACATGAATGAAGAAGTTAATATAGGTATACTTCTGAGATGACCTAGGTTGGACATTCAATGTTGTGCTATGAATTTTCTCCTTATGCAGAGTATTCGTTTGCTTGCAGAGTGGCTTTCTGGCTTGCTGCCAGCCAGTGCATGGTCCATGCTTATGAGTTCAGGATCGATGACAATGTGAATCCTTCAGATGTTTACAATAAAAAAAGTGAATAAATGAATTTACTAATGTTAATGTTAAACTTGATGGAAAAATATTCCTTTGAACCTTTGGTGGATGGAAGTTAAAGACCTCGAGTTATGTGCAATAAATAGTAAATAAAGTTACACCGAGTGACATTTCTTGCTGTGGTTTTTCACTTAATTAAAATACCTTTAAACATGGTATCAATATAAACAATATACAAGTGGACTATTGACCTTCAGTTTTTCGAAAAGCTAAAATTTTAACAGCTACAATACCTTCTTTAATTGGAAATTCTGAGGGATACAGTTAGGTCATGACTATAATATCTTGTCCCTCAAAATTGTACTCATAATAAATGAAATGAGAGAGTCCATAAATAATAATATATTCTATAAAATGTACTGTATTATGTTGAAGGATGACTTTGTAGGAGACAGTTTTGAAATTATATGACAAATACATCCTTTATGGACAACTAGGATGTGATTATGCAATATGGGTAGAATATGAATTCCACATGTTCATCACTGTGGCTACATTTTTAATGCATTCTAAATATGGGCAGAAGTTGAAACCTGAGCACATGATATAACGAAAAGGAATGTTTTTATCAATGTATAATTTAGAGAGGAGAAAGGATATCAAAGGTTATTTGCCACTGTAACCATGTTGCCTGCAATCCTGAGCTCGTGCTGTAAGCATAATTCTGTTACCTAAAATAAATAGCATTTAATGCCACACATTTTTTTAATGTTTAAAAAATTGCAGACACCAGTAATGAAATTAGTAGTAGTCACGTAGTGGGAAGATAATATATTTGTGTGTTACATTGGCATCGCTCTGCATGTCTTAATTGGGAAATACTGGGATTTCAATAACTGGTTGGATGTTGCATAAAAATCACACCCGGTCTGTCTGTGTCCACTGTGAAGTTATGAAAGCTCTCACCTTTGCATTTGCTGTGGAATATAGATGAAATTATTGTCTCTCTGCTGCTCTGCTTCTGTTATTAACTGCATTGTCAGCTAACTTTGTTCAGTAACTGTTTTTAAGATGACCTTTGAAAGTTATGGATTTCACCTGAAACCAAAGTGGTCTCCGTTTCAAGTTATATGATCCCTTTGCATTTCCGGAAAGATTAGGTATCTCCTCAGAAGCCAAGCTTTTCACATTTATCCTCATTAAGTATGGGAGGATGTTCATGGCTTAGTGTACGCTACATGGCAAAAGTGCCTCATCGAACGGAAACAGCTGGTTGATGTGAGAAAGACTTGGTTGAAGTAAGAACATTGTTCCATACTCTATCCTGTGTGCCATAATAAAATACTGAAAAGACTTAAATGACTTTGAAGTCTTTTTAAAAATTTCCCCAAATATGGTACTGTGGCCAGTATCCACTTTCTCTTTGCTCCCCCCAAAAGTCGAATCCTTCACTATTCTGTTCCCAGCGACCCCACTCCCCGGTTATCCTATTCTGTAAACCATACGCCTCCATATGCCATCACCTCCCCCTTTTCCTCAGACCCTCGAGCCTCATTGATCACTGCTCTTGTTATGGTTTGGATCTGGATATCTCCCCAAAGCCTCATGCAGTCATAGGGGGCTTTTTCAGAGGTAGCTGAATCTAGAGTGTGTGATGTTGGGATTAAGGCATGTGCTTACTAAAAACCAGTACATGGATTAGTTTGGTACTGACCTAATCCCTGTAGTCTGAATAAGATAAAAGAGGCAGAAAGACGCCCATAGGGTTCCCTTGTTGCTTTTGCTACTAGGTAAGTGCCATGAACTGTTTCTCCTCTGCAACACCCCTGTGCCATGTGCCACCCTGCCTTGGAGCCAGCCGATTATGGACTGAAACATCTATAAACTGAGCTAAATAAACCCTTTTCCTTTTAACTTTGGATGTCAGGTATTTTGTCTCAACAACTAGAGAAAAGTAACGAACACAACTCCTATTGATTTTACTGCCACAGTCTCTCCATGGACACTGCCACTCTCCTAACAATTCTCGCAGTATCTACTCTTACTCTTCAATCAGTGCACAATTCAGTTAGGGAAACACCCTGATGTAAGCCCTCCAATAATGTCCTGCTTGCTGCTTCAGCCACTGTGATCCTCTGTTCTCCCACAGGCCACAGGGTTTATGTATTTATTTTGCTGGTTCCTCTTTCTGGAACACTTTTTTCTCCTTCCATCAGCCTCACTTGGCGAGGCCCTATTCACCGTCTAGACACAGACTTTCGAGTGTCATTCCCTAGGGCAATTCTCCTCTGACCTTTTCTGGTAGGTCAGATTTCTAAAAATGCGTATAAGACTTTGTAGACCTTTTGTCTTTGGCATGGACATCAACTTTGTGATCGATCACCTGACACAGATCTGTCACCCTACCACCATGTGAATGTCAGAAGCATGGGGGCTCTGATCTCTGTGGCTTGGTATTTTATACCTAGAACGTACCACAGTTACTCCCTTAGTAGAAGTACACTACATATCTGTTGAGTGAATAACTTCTTCATGGATTAAAATTTCTCCAAGATGACCAGAAAGCCAAGATTATTCAATAATGTGTCACACCTTGTTTTGGAAAGAGCAGGGAACTAAGTGTCCATCCTGGGGAGCATTGTTGCTCTGTGAAGAAGCACTGACCGTTTTTATCCCCAGCCTGGCTGCAATCTGCTTGTTCACATAAAGGTTTAGCAGTGGCTGTCTCATCCTGACTATATTTGTGATGCAAAGTTTCCTGCAAGGCCCTCACTGCTTAGAAGCTCAGGCTAAGTGGAGAAATGGGAAACTGTGTGCTTCCTATGTGTTATGACTTATCTCCTCACTAAAATCTATCACCTACAGGAAGTTGCTGAACTCGGTATAAAGTTCCATTCCTGGCATCAAATGAATAAGTGATAAACTTGGTCACTTTTTCCCGTACATGGAGACTCCAGTGCTGTCAGAGTGACCTTGTGTCTCAGGAACCATTCTAAGTGCAGTATCTGAATTAACTCCTCCACTCCTTCTATACTGCAATACTATGAGTCTAGTGGGGTCACAATCCTGCTTTTACAGGCGAGGAGTTAAGATTAGGAGACTCACATAGCTAGGCCACGTGGCAGGCTGGGATTCGGACCTCACAGTTCAGTTCTAATATCCATCTCTGAAAGCCCACCCCACTGGCTGTCCTTCTCACAGGTGTGCTTTATAACAATACTGGGGGAGTTTCCACACAGTGATCAGAACTCTCACACAGTCCTTGTATTACTTGTAAGTCAAAGGCGATCACAATGCTCTGTTATAGTTGCCTAGGATGCTCAAGTGTTTCTTTTGTCCCTTTGAATATTTATGTCTGTATCTTAATCCTTCTTCTTAATGACATGCTTTTGGAAGGCAGGAACCGGGTCTCAGAAACAGAGATGAAGTGGAAATTTATCTTCAAGGATCACTCACTTCCCAGATGCTAGGTCTCAAGTTGTTGCTGTTACCTGAGCAGGGCTGCAGGATCTATTTCAAGGTGCTTCAACCAGGTGAGTGGTGATTTCCTTTCCATGTGGGCCTTTTTATCCAGCTTCTTGAGTCTCTTATAGCATGGCAGCCGGCCTCCCCCAGAGCCAGGATGCCAAGAAACCAAAGCAGAGGATGCCTGGTCTCCTAGGACCCAGCCTTGCAAGGGATGCACCATGCCTGACCACTGTGTTCTCCTGGCCATGGGGTCAGCCTGCCTGACTCAGGGCGGCAGGGATCCATCTGCAGAGTGGCCTAAACACTAAAAGGGGATGCTCACCAGAGGCTGCCACAAGACAGCCAAACCTGTGATTATTTCTTTGATGAATGGAAAGTATCCATTCTAGAGTTTTTGAATCAATTCTAATTTCAAATATTCTTCCACTCTGTTTTCATCAGTATGCTCCTTCTCAGATCATGGGTTTCATTTTAAGAACATGTTTGTGAAAATCACAGACAGCTTGGCAATTAATATTTTCATCTAATGGATACGTTCATGTTTGGCCTTTTATTAATGTAGTTCTTTAGTCCTTCCTCTCAATAGGATTGTGTTCACAGGGTGTTACGTACAGACTAATAGTTCCTGATGCATATCCCCATATTTATTTTCTACAACTACAGCTATATATCAAGGTCTTAGATTTCCTGCAGTGATTCATTTAAAATGAAATATGTATCATTATAGTTACTTGGGATAAATATGCTAGCAGCTAATATATGACTTAAATTATGACAAAATAATAACACTATGTATTGTTTTGTTGGGTTCAACCCATCTCGGTTAACATCTTATTTACTTTTTAATATCTTGGGTTTGAACATGAATTTAAATGAGAACCTTTTTGTTTTAGTCACTTTCTTCACCACTTGGACAAAATCACCAACACCTATAAGCTAAAGGAGGAGAGGGTGGATTTGGGTCACAGTTTATAGTCCATGCTCAGCCAGTTCCGAGGCAGGAAGTGCCCCCACAGAGAGGCGTGGGGAGAAAAGCGGCTCACCTCATGGTGTTCAAGAGGCAGAGAGAAGAGGAAGGAGGAGCCAGCCAGGGGACTAACACTTCCAGGCTAAGCCAGTGGCCCACCTCTAACCAGGCCCCAACTCCTAAGAGCAAGCAGCCCCCCATGGTCCGATCACCTTCCAAAAGCCCAGCCTCTGAGCACCTGAGGCACTTGGAGGACATTCTTGATCTAAACTATAACACTTCTACTAAATGAAAAATTTATGTGGAATAAAAGTTGCCTTGATACAAAATGTCGTCTTAAAAATCCTGAGAAATTGTGGATGAGGCTCAGGTTTCTTGTGGACATTAAAGATTTTCCTTTGTGAATTGATGGCCAGTGATCCTTTTGCTCTTGGCTAAATGTGATTTTTTTCAATCTCTAACTACCCCGCTTCTTTCTATTTCATGTGTCGCATAGGCTAGTCCCTGATACTTGGACTAACACAACAACCAGCATGATGCTCTGATGCAGCAAAACTAATGCTTTCCTCTATTTACCACACTGGTAAAGACAGAAACTCACATTGAAAACTCTGTACACAGAGTTGAGAGAAAGTAATTAATGATCAGATTATTTTGACTACCTTGTTTCTAATAGTTTATTCACTGTCCACTTTTTTAGTGCCACACACACACACACACACACACACACACACACACACACCCTGGCTTCCTCTCTCTCCTCTTCCCCCTCCTGAATTCACACGAAAGATCCATGTGCCCCAGAGAAACTCACATTTGTAAGCCACAAGTCATTCTCACAATTTAAAGCAGGGAAATTGGTATCAGGCACGTGAGCTCAGAGGCCGGTTCTGAGGACAGCGAACAATGCACCCCTCCAGCGGGCCCAGGAGACCCCGTGTGGGTCAGTTGGCCTCACAGCGCGCAGGTTCCAGGGTGCACCCGAGGCTCCGCAAATGCTGAGCTTCGCAGGAGCGTGGTTTTCCCCGGCTGTGTCCACCGAAGTGACCGCAGGGTGTGCATCATGACCCCAAGGGCCCCTCTAGCGACTCGGGAGCAGTACCTGGGGAAGGCAGGAACTTTGGCATGTTCCCTGTTTCCTCTCTGTGCACTTGGCAGCCCCCGCCCCCTTCCATTCCTCCTGAGCTGTGGAAGTGGAAGACAGCAAGTGTGATTTTTCAAGTGTTTTAGTCTGCAGCCGAGCTCAGGGGCAAGGTCCTGAGGGCAGGGAGTGGAGGCGGATTTCAGCCTCTACTGCAGAGGGGAGCTCCCTGAAAGGCCCAGCCCCTGAACCCTGCCCCTCTGCAGGCAAAGTGAGTCGCCAGTGTATGTGCACCCGTGTGTATTATTCAAGCACCACATCCTCCGGCCCCTGCTCCAGGAAGAGCCAGGCGACACAGACAACTTGTTGCAGGAGTCCCAAGCCTGGGGCACTGGGGCTCCACAACTGCTCAGGAGAGGAGGGCAGCAGCTCAGCGGACAAAGCTCTTCTCCCCACCAGGCACCGCGCTCTCCAGGGAGGCACGAGGGCCCCGGCGGTCTCAGGAAGCCTTAGCGAGGCGCCCCCATCTGCTCAGGCCTGAGGGGGTGGGAAGTGGAAGGGCCAGACCTGCATTTCCTTCAAGATTACCTAGGAGGTGTACATCTCCATTCTAGTCTCTTTAAACAATTTAAAGGCATCTCCCTGACCCGAGCCAACCGAGAGCAAAGGCTTTGAAAAAAAATCAAAATTAAATGTCACTTATTTTTTTCTTTGCAGTGAGCCACACTTCAATGTCCCCAGGGTTTCTGCACACGCACCACCCCCTCTGCCCAGCCACCCCACCTGGGGTCAAAAAGGACACCTCTGAAGATGCATTAATACAGGAGTTGCCCCCAAAGGTGC